AAGACTACTGCAAGAGCTAAAAGAAAAACACGGACTCCAGCTGATGTCTGCATTCGAACCGGAGTTTTGGGCCTTCAAACCTGATACCATGGATGCATCGTGTCGTAGTCCGACCGCTCCGATCGAACATGATCTAACGATTGCCGAACCAGTACCATTTACTTACGGGGCTGACGCTTATAAGTCAAGCCTGTTGGCAGTGTACGAGAGTTTCTTCATGAAACTGGACACGATGATGGAAAAGGCTGGTGTCGATATTCAAGAATACCTAAATGAGGATGGGTCCGGGCAGCTAGAGTGTCCCCTGATGCCAGAATACGGCATCGCCTCTGCTGATCATTACTTTATCTTCAAACAGGCAGCCAAAGAGATCGCACTTCAACATGGCATGGGCATTTCATTTATGACGTCGCCTTATGCAGCAGGTTCATCGAGTGGATGTCATTTTAATCACTCCTTGTGGACAAGCGATACAGGAGAGAATGCCTTTTACAACGATCGCAGTGAGTGTCATCTTGAACATCTAGCCTTCACTTATTAGGATCCTTTGGCGTGGTTTTGGCGCACTTCTGTGATGTTAATAAACCGGTACTTTTTAGCATAGGGCTTAATATGCAAACAACAGTACTCTAGTCACCCGGGTTTTCTTTATACACATCATTAGTTATAACAAAATCTGTCCTACTAGCACCTAAGTCCTATGTCGTACATAGACACTATGCGGAATGTCCTACTTCGTGGGGCTAATTGCTGTTTTCTGCACAGTCTGTAGCTGACATGACAGTGGAATAGTAAGCCAGGCTTATATCTTAGACAATTGTCGATCACCCAGGTCCGCAACTGTCACCCATGACGAAGTAGCCCTAGCTGCTGGCATCCGGAAGTCATGTGGTCGGAACTGCGCAGGGGCCCAATGGAAGGCGTACCATTGATGAGACCCAGAAGGTTGAACCAGTTGTCTTGTGCTTTTTCCAGAAATGTTGAACCCTGCTGACTGAGGGTGGACCGTGAGGAATTATCTCTGAAGCATAAGAATTAGCTAGAATTTCTGACTGTTGCCGCAAGATGTCGATATGGTTCACGCGGTTCTGAATGAGACGGTTTTTATACACGACTAGCATAAAGACAAATGTGTGCTCTGGTAGAGTGGTTCTTGCTCGGACTGAGTCAAACTAGGCTATTGAAAATTAGAGTAAACAATACATTGAAGTGTTCAGTGAACGTGTCGTCATTTTTAAAATGTGGAATTTGTTCATGTGATAACAATTGGCGCAAACCAGGATTGTGAAACTCTTGCTGTAAAACAACAAAACACCCTGTTTTGTTCACGAAGGCCTGTAACTTTGTGACAGCTCGATCCCAGGCATATTCGAGCATGTGTGCTAGGAAATGGAAACCGGAATAAGTTCCGATTTGTTTCCGTTTCTCGGATAGTGTTAGCATGCAAGTTTACCCACATGGGGTGGCCTCTGTTGTATTCCCGCCAATGCGTTCTTCAAGGTAGATTTCTATTAAGTTTGACCAATCAATCTCCCTTTAATAATGGCGCGTATTTCTGTTGCGTACAACCTGTTGGATGCGGCACATCACTTAACGGACAAGACAGGATCCAGGCAAGAAATAAGCTTTCGGTTGACGAGCTTCTCGTTTCTTGTGTCAGTAAGCGAACAAAGCCTGTGGCACTTATACTTGATATTAGGTGCATACGCCTATATTTTTGAAAGACAGAAACAATAGCGAAACAACCAGAACGCTTTCGCAAAGTGGTCAGTGGCTGTCATGAATTCTCACCGGCATTCGGGAAAAAGAGCCAACCTATTTTCGTTTTGGCAGTACGTGAATTCTTCTACCGCTTTAAGCGCAATAATGCGGAGGGACGTGCATTCCAACTAGACCAAACCCGATTTACGAAGAAATTAGCTCTTATATTGAGCCGAGGTCATTGGGGCTCAAATTCGGATTATGGTCACATATTGTTCTGATGTAGCTGGTTCAAACAGATCAGTGGGTTTGAGATCACTGTGACCACACAGAATTTTGAATGCCTCCATTAGGTACTCTCGAAGCCTGCGTCTCTTCATTGAAAATATACCTAAGTTAACTAATCAATCTGCATGCGGTAACTCACACTGGCCTATCACTCGAGTCACCAAGATGCACCTTTGCAACACAGTTGATATCTTTTTGCGGGTCGGATACCCAGGCCTGAACACAGTAATCCAAATGTGTTCTGATCACTGCTTTATACTTAAGGAGAAAGATCTCTGATTCGATACAACTCAGAACCCTCCTGAATCGAAATAACCCCTGCCGTGCATTGCTGGCAGTACGCTTACACTGCGCCGACGGCTTGAATTTATTCATCAGGAGGATACCAAGATCGCGTGCTTCAGTAATGCGCTGCTCTGTCAGAAACTCATCTGATGCAGACAGTACACCATCTTCATCACTAGGAGCCATGTTTTGGCGTTTGCTGACATTTAAATGCAAATCCCATGGGGGTGACCAGTTAATAATTGTAGCTAAATGTTTAGACAGCATATTCCTGTCGCCCTTGTTAACATGCATGAAAACATCCGCAAACATCTGAAATGGATCCTCAAGTAGAGCGGCTAAATCATGTATTAACATGAGACAACAATGGATCGAGCCCTGAGCTCTGGGCGACTGCAGTGTGAGCAGTACTTGTGTTCAAAATACCAGCACCAACCATAACACGAAATGTCCTGCCGTAAAGGAACGCGGACAGCCAGGAAAGCAGTTGAGGATAAAGTCCAGACCAGGTGATCTTTTTCTAGTAGGAAGTGGTGATCCACCGAAACAAAGGCTTGACTGAAGTTAACACACTTCAGAAGGTATCGCTTCATCAGCATATTGAGTTATTTCATCTCGGAAACAGCGGGTTGATAAGGCATGACATTTCTGACTGTACCGTGCTTTTTCGTACCAATCATTTCGTAGGCTGTCAGATGTTCACAGATTCGATCTCAAATAACCTTCTCTAGACACTTCAAAAAGTACACAAGTTAAAGTACAAGTTAACAAGTTAAGGCTTGTACTTATTGGACGAGGATTTTGAACCGCCTTTATTGGTAGGCACTACAACTGCATCTTTCTAGTCCTGCATTATCCACCACTTACAAGTGACAGGTTGTTTACTTCAAGGCGTGGAAGCTGTATAATGTTGACACTTAGCTTAACAAGAACTTGGTGTAAGTTAGCATGGACAGGGGAATTGTGAGCTTTTAGTCCTTTAGGACAGAGAAAGCTTGGAGTTAAAGCCATTTCCACTATGTTTCGCACATTTACACCATCTGACGGTGAAGGAGTTAAATACCCTGTAACCATTCGATGCACTTTCAGAAAACCCGCAACAACACCGCTTAATCTAGGTTTTCCGGAATCTGAATTTAATTTCCTGTGATTAAATTGCCAACGACTTCCGTTTAGAAAGAGTTCCACTGTGAGTAGCTGCAATACGCTTACGGATTTACCTTTACATGATGTTCCAGCCAAGGTTAGTACCCTGCTTCCGCAATTTGACGAAAAGGTTTCGACATCCTTTGTAGCTCCATCACCTACGGAACTTACCGAACTCATGCAACCTGTTCCATAGAGCATTTGTCGTTTTGGCTCTCCACCACTTCTTCGGCGCCACCGACGATGCTTTCTCGAGTGGCGCATTCTACACAAGTGAGCAAAATACTATAACAGCTGTGTGAGACCACTTTTGAATATATACCATTTCTGCGCACGGTTATACCCCCGAAAAGCATTGTGTTAATCCAGCTTAGATTACGTGTTAAACAGGTTTAACTGACTGCTGCTGCAACTTAACGGAGAAGCGAAGGACAGCTGTTGCCTATGGACTGCACCACTGTAATGGTTGACAATCGGAAACAGTAAAGGAAGAAGGAACATTCCCACCACGTCCTCTAGTTGGGATTTTGACGTGCCCTACAAAAGTATGTTTTTACATTCACTGCAGCAAGCATCCTTCCAAAGCATTTGACCTATTTGGAGCATGCTAACAGTAAGCACATATTAGGTTCAGGTCGCAAGCTATCCTAATGCTTGGGTGCTGGAGGAGCAGCAAAGCTCTTTTCCTCTCCTCGCCTCGAACATCGACTGCGGTAAGCACAACCAGTTAATTCAATCTTACCCCACACTCAGAAAACAGGTACTAACTAGAATAGCTGGAGTGCACATGGTGAAGGGGACTTCCAAATAGCTATAGTGAAGTTGTAAAAGTAAAAGCAAGTGACCTCCATTTTGACACCCATGATGGTCTCTCCAATACACAGAGAATTCTGTTAGGAGACAGGCACTACTTTAGTTATTTTGAGAAAGTGAGATCACAGTAATCGGAACTACATCAACAGTTCTGTAACTCAGCACGATTTCTCCACCCATGTTCATTAAGCTACAAGCGTCTGTGCACCATACATTCAGTGATGCTTGCAGCCGTCGCTTTTCGCCCTCAGCTCTCATTATAAAACTGTCATCGGACGTAGAACTCGAGGGGACAGCCCGATTTTGCAGCAATTGCATTCGGATTGACGGAAGCTTCTACTTGCGTCGGTGAATACAACGCAGGCAATTGTCCGCTGCTGTGGGAGTAGCCGACATTTGTGTTGTTTACTCTGGCTGCTTTGGCGCCTCGAGCCTCAAGCTGATTTCTCATTCTCCGACGCCTAATCACCGCAATGACCACAAATTTCCCAGTTGCACCTGACCGAGTGGAGGTTAAATTTTCTGGATCGAGAAGGTTTTGGTTCCTTCTCCGGACTGAATAATTTAATGGCAAACGTTTCATCACTTCGTTCAGTGGCATATTCACTACACTGCTGCATAGAGAAAAATCTCACCACTTCGCTCAGAGGTGAAACGTTTGCCATTAAATTAAGCTCGGAGAACGAATCAAAAGGTTAACTACCAACATGAGCTACAAGTATTCCAAATCATTCCTGGGACGTAGTCGGAGGGGGACCTCTTAAGTCCAGTATCTGGACTAATCATAGCTGCTACGGATTTCATCACTGTTTGCTCTGAACTGGCGGTAGCTGTCGTTCTCGATCGCTCACATGCAAGTTAGATTCGCGTCAGAAGAGAATTTGAGATCATGTTCCACGTCGACATATCACTTGAAGTTTGTTAAAAAGGCACTTCTTGAATAACTTTCCAAAGATTGAGTAGGGCTGTAGTCGTTTTCTGAAATGGACGAAATGAGACAAAAGCAACTAACAGCATCCGTCTGGAGAGGGTGACCCCTGAGCTCGATAATGCACAATTTTCCTGCCCAGATCCGCAACGACATGTTTCCGATGTGTCACTGCTCTGGCACAACAGGTCCAATACTGGCTTTGTTCAAAGCTAACGATGAGATAATTTTGGTTCGTCATGCGAACATATCAGGAGCCACCTGAGATCGACAATTTGTTTGATTGGCCAATGGGTCCGCTCCATTGAGAAGGTGGTCACAGTACATCAGGTCCTTCAATTCCACAAAAATTGGACTTGAAAGGCCCTTCTGGTGCTAAA